TTGCTTAAGAACGTGAAAGTAGCAAGAACATCGTTCTCGTAGGACGTACCGGGAATGGTGACCAAGGCTAGCAAGCCGCATAGAGTGGTAGCGTTGCCTTGCTTCAGGGTCATCCCTTTCTTACCAGGACTACATACGTAAGAACAGGAGTCGGGTCGATCTGAAAGTAATAATAATAAACGGGAACAAAGACAGTTGTTGTTGTTATTTTTTTTTCCGATCTCGTGTGAAGCTTAGATTATGGATTTATGAAATAAAGATAATTTTGTGGAAAATATATTGAGTGCACAAATGCACTTATAGCGGACCTTTACAGAGTTACAATTTCGATCGTACGAGTTATGCCAAGGTTATCCCAAGCAAAAAAAAAACAAAAGAAACGAAACTGTCTTACTTTACAGCCAATATCTGGTTTAGATATGTGATATGAAACTCAGATTCAGCACTCTACTATTAAATAAGCTTTTGCCAACAAGAATAATGTTTAGTTTAAATCGAATATTTATCTTTTATACTAGTTGACCCACTCTATCAAGTCACTAATTCATTACAAAGTGTTAGAGCCAGAGGCTTGATCATAATCTCCACCTTGAGGCGCAGATTTTTACTCGAGGTCCTACGTATAGTGCTGAGAAGTTTTCCAGGAGATTGATGTAAATTTATGCGATCAATCCTTTCGCCGGATTACGTGACCATGGTTGTGCTCATAACATGTGATTTTACGAATAAAATTCTATACTTTTGAGCATGTAAGCTTCTTTGCCTAGCGCTTCTGGGCACGGTATTAACCGACAAATGAGGCACATTTTAACTTCAAGAAATATTAAAAGTAAAGTTATCAGCTTCATTATCAAGACTGCAAAATTCGTTAAATGTCAATTAGTTCAATATCAATTATCCCGGTATAAATCAACTCCTTCAACAATAACTTGATTCTTTTAATTCAGTTTCCTTTCTAATTGCCTCAACAAGCAACAGACCCGTCTGATCCCATATTTTTCCTTCAATGTTCGATTTATTAAAGAAATTAAAAGTCAGGAAACTTTCAATCTTTGATTCAAAATTACCAAGAAGAGTATTTCTCACTTCTGAAAATCGGAAAATGTTTTCGGCTGCCGGTTTATTTACTTTGGGTCATTACTGTGTTCATTTGCTTAACACCTCTTTGATAAAGTTCAACAGCAGTTACTTTCCCGACCTTGTTATCCTTTAAAATGCTAAATTCAGATTTAACGAAGAAAGTACTAAATGGCGGTAAGTTGTCTTGTTACAACTCAAACCTGTAAGTTAAGTAACATTATTGTATCACTCTTGTTTGTTGTCAATATAACGCGCTGTGATTGGCTAATTCTAGGGTATTATTTTCCCGTAATGCCCATCAGCCGATTAACTCCTGCAAAACCAAAAAAAGGCCATTAAATAAACAACTTAATTAACCTCGAACGTTCAACTTCAACATGGAAAAATCTGAAACCTCGACCTTGCGTATTGCTTGGTCAATCAAAAGCTTGGTCAATCAAAACAAAAACTTAGGAGAAACTGAGAAGTAAAATCGTCCAAATCTATACTTATTAAGACCTGGTATCCAAACCTTCTTCACGGTTGTGATTTTCTTTGTTTTAACTTGAATTATTATTGAGTTTGGAAACATAACGTATTGTCTCTAACAATTTGATTTTAAGGTGTTAAACGCAATTATTTCCTTGCTTGCAGTATAGTTTTCTTGAACTAAATACTTTTTAACCGAGATTAAGGTCTTAACGGGAAAATCTAAAACCAAGACCTTGCCACATTGACCGAACCAAAGCCAGGTCAATACGACAAGGTCGAGGTTTGAGATTCTCCCGTAAAAAGTTGAACGCTCGAGGTTAATAAGTTGCTTATTATATTGCTTTTGCTTTGTTTTTGCAGTACGTTATCGACCCGAGGGAGTTACGGGAGAATAATGCCCTAGAATTAGCCAATCAGAGTATGCGTTTTATGGGCTACCATCAAGAGCCCTACAATAATGTTGCTTAATTCACAGGTTTAATGGGTTGTCACAATACAATTTACCACCATTTAGTCATCTCTATATTAAATCCTAATTTAGCATTTTAAAGGTAGCGTTCAATAGCGAGGTTCCGTCATTTGTTTTTCATTGTGATAACAGCGATGGGAAAGTAACTGCTGTTGAAGATTATCAAAGGTTTAAGCAAATGAACCCAGAACTGACTCAAAGTAAATTAACCGGCTGCCGGAAAAAGTTTCCGATTTTCAGAGGTGAGAAATGGGCTTCTTTTTAATTTTGAATCAGAGTGAAACTTTCGGGACATGTTTAAATAAGAGAAAAAAATGAATCAGTTAATCTGCTAAGAAAAAAGATATGAATTTAACTCAGACAGGAGTTAAAAAGAGGCTGCGGTTCCTTGCCTATACACGTCCGTTTAGAAGGCCTGGTAAATCAAACATTGAAGTTAAAATATCAGATCGGATGGGTCAGTTTCAAGAAACGTTAAAATAACTTTATTAGTCGTTTCGAAGCATCGAGTATCATTATCAGGATTGAGAAATTCGTTAAATTTCGAAGTTCAAAAGAGTTAGATAGCCATATAATTGATAATTATTCAAAGCTCAACTCTTTCAACAACTTTAGCATTTAATAACGAATTTTTCATTTTTGATAATGAAGCTCGATGCGACGAAGCGTCGAATAACGTTACTTGCAATATTCTTGAAGTTAAAATGTTTCGCATTTGTCGGTTAATACCGTTTGCGGCAGCGCGGATGCAAATGCAGAAAAAAAAAGAGGATACGAAGTCCTGGAAGGTTACATGTCTAAAAGTATAAAATATTAAAACATAACACGCGCGCTAGTCCTACGTAATCCTTTTGAGCCATCATGAACGAAGTCTCATGAACGCAAGGCCGTGCGTATGTAGCATGACGTGTGCATTTTCAATTTAGCTGAGAAATTTCCGTCGAGTTTAGTGCAAGTTCCTTTTGTATACTGGTTTGGGCCATGTGAACAAACCAAACCCTACTTCGAGCCTTGGACTTTTGCCAAGTAACATGTTTACTTAAAAACCGGCTTGAGTATTCTGACTTTGTTTGTCTACATTTTCATTGAGTATTTTTGACTTTATATGCCTACATTTTCATTATAATTAATTCAAAGAAGCGAAGTTTTCATTGACAACTTTAGAAACCCGGTTAAGCATTTTCGCTCAATTGTTGCTCAACTGATCGTGGCGTGTTAGGATCTCAATGATCTTTTTTTCTTCCTTCACCGTGCATTGTGAGAACTTTGTGGTCAATCACAATTAAAACATGTTCACTTCAGTTGTTGTCACCATGTTATGAAAGAGTTGGTTCAAGTTATGGGAAGTTTGGAGAGCAATCAAGAAGCTAGAGTTGCTCTCGGCTATCGCCTCGAGCAACTAAATTTATGTATTAAGCTCGACACGGCAGAAATTCCACGTTTGAATCGGTGTCGCATTTCTGTCGGATAATGTGGCAGGATCAGTCGAACGTGCGTAGACGTCGAATTTAAGTCGATTTTAATTCGTTTAATTGAATTCGACACGGCAGAAATGCGGCGTATGCACCGTGCCTTACTAACAGCCACAGTTATATAATCCGGTAAAAGGATTGACCATGTCAGGTTATTATTGCTGGGAAATACTTAATAGCAGATTTCTTAATCTGAATCAATAACACTCATTTCTAAATCAGATATGGATTGCAAATTGTAAAGCTGCAAAGGTCCGCTAAAAGTTGATTCGTTTACTCAATATATTTTCTCCATAAGTTCTCTTCATTTGAAAGTTCCAAAATCTAAAGCGTCGTACGATAGCAAAAAAATCTATTTTGGATTGTTTATTTTTGGCAAACTGTCTTTCTTCCCGCTTGTCATTATAACTTTTAGATCGACCCTGTCCTTACGTAGGTAGTCATGGTTACTAGAGAATGACCAATCAGGGCAACGCTACCACTGTATGCGGCTTGCCAGCCTGGATCGCCTTTCCCGCCAACGACAGTGCGTCCTATGTAAATGATGCTCTTGCCGTTGGTGTTAACGTACCCCTTGGTATTTTCGCGTTCTTTAGCAACCTCATCATCATCGTTACTGTGGCCAAAACACCGCGCCTTCAAAGACCCAGCAACATTTTGTTGTGTAGCCTGGCCGCTATTGACTGCTTGGTTGGCCTGACGTCACAGCCGCTGTTTTTCATTTGGCGCTTGATGCTCCATCGCGCCCGTCAGTCATGTTACCTCCAAACTGAGCTGTTCGAATCACGATATGTGCTCAACACATTGACTCTTGGTGGGTCGTTCGCCATTTTCACGCTGATCAGCTTTGACCGAGCGCGTGCATTGTCCGATCCGCTGAGTTATCGCACTAAAGTCACTAACAAAGGTATGTTGCATAGTAAATGGTTTGAACCCAGGAGTATCAGTAGTTCGTATCGGTGACTGACGTTGTTGGTGACTGACGTTTCGACAACCTGAGCGGAAGTCATTTTCAGAGTCAAGTGAATAGTGTTTGTCAGTCGATGATGTTATAGTCTGGTCGGTTGAACGTTATCGGTCAGTTTAGCCATGATGGTATTGGCTGAAAGACTCGCTCTAAAGTTTGTCATCAGTCATTGGTGGGTTTCGATCCGTTTATTCTTAGTCAAATTGGTCGGTTTTTGGTCCGTGTATTGTTCGTCAAATTAAGTCGGTCTGTTAGAAGTCCGTTTT